ATATATATATATATATATATATATATATATATATATACATTTATAATTTTTTTCTCTAATCATAGCATTTTCAATGAAGACTGCTTTCTCCAAAACGTTTGCATAATGAGGTTTTTCTCTGCCCTGCTGACTTTCCTTCCTGCTACGAATCAGATGTGAGCGAGACGTCTCGATAACGTATGACACACATACACACACGCGCGGGCGCACGCAGAAAGACACACACACAGACACACGTACTCACACACACATCTATCTATCTATATGTGTGTGTATGTACTACCCACAAACACATATATATGTCCTTAAAAGCCTCATTTTCCGGCCTGCACTGATGCTGAGAGGAAATGCACATGGTCTGATATATAGTGTAAGGAATTGAATGACAAAGAACATGGAACTGAAGGATAAGGATAAATCCGATATAAGAAGCTGAGCCTCGCCCGGGCTATGAGGGGAGCCCGGCCTGTGTCGACTAATGCCGACTCGCTTACGTGTGTCAGCTGGTGCTGACTCGGCTTTGTCCTTACCCGCCGTGGTGCCCAGCCACAGCAGTAACCTCCAGGCGACAATTGCAACTTCTCGCGCCTGGGTGGGGCGCAAACCACCGACCCCTTGGATGAGAGGCCGACGCGTTACCACTGTACTAGCCCGGAGGTTATGGAACTGAAAACAATAGAGAGAAAATAAAGCATCTGTAAAAAGTGAAGTGGAATCCAGGAGCGGGAGGTCAGTTAGCAGGACAGCCAAGCCCAGGTGCCGCTCCCAAGGTCACCTTGATTAGATATAAAATTTAAGTGCTAGTCTGCTATTTAGAACACGAAGTGAAGGATATTATAAAATTGAAAAATGGTTTAAACAAAATAGAATTGCATGTCAAAATGGCCATAGAAAAAAATATCACAACTATTTATTTTAACAGTAAAAAGGGGAATCATGCGCTGTTGATGATTATATAAGAGGAAAAGTTTAATGATTAAAAGTAGATGCTCAAATAATTCTGTAAAGGTGCAGAGAGGACTGTCCTTAGAAATAATAATAGTTTTGAGATGGAAATGGAAAAAAAAAGAAATGGAAGAGTTTAAGATTAAGTGTTTTATTGATATCAATTTGCTTGTGAAATATATGGAATGAAACCAAACAATAACACAGATGAATACCGAGCAGTATGTAAATAAGGGTGAAACCAGAACACTGCAAGAAGGAAATAATGTTTGCAAGAAAACAAGGAATGAACAACAAGAAAAACCAAGAGACCAAGGCAGCTGAGCCAAAACAAAAAGCAGAAAGTAGAGAAACTTCTCTGAAATATTAAAACAAGATAACAGAAAAAAGCTCAAATACAGTGCCTATAACAACAGGTAATAAGGCTGAAAACGGAAAAAAGGGATATATTTAGAACAAACATACATTATACAATGTTGAGGAAAAGGGTACTAATAAAAAAAAAAATATATATATATATATATTGTTAGTGCTAATATTACCTTTATCGTCAGTATCATAATCATACTAGCAACTACGTTTACAAACTGTTGAAGTCATAAGATATGTAATGCGTAAAAAATAAAAAACGGTCACTTGATCCCTAAAAAAGTGGTTCTCAGCCATCCCCGCTTTTGCCATTCCTTTCATATTATTTCTAATAACACACCATAGGCTATATAAAAAAGGAATCTAAACAAGCTTTATATACAGCTGTAAAACATGATATCATAGTACATTCTTAATATGAACACTGACAATCACCTGACAAACTGATGTACAGTTCGCGACCTTATTGCTAAACCTCTCGAGGGTCACGGCCCATCGGTTGGTAACCTTTACGGTTACAGAACTACAAATGTTTTCTGCTGTAATGTATGGAAGAAATGCAATCAATTCATGTAATATCTACAGCATTGCTGGAACACCCAATAACCCATCAGCCGTATATTAGTGTCGTGGCATGGCACCTCCTACTCAGCGCTGGAGACAAGGTAATCTAGATTTGATTAAGCAGTCATGGCAAGTATTTTCAGAAATAAAAAATCTCGTTAAATACGCATCAACTGCTTCAGTATAATTAAATATACTAATGTTTAAACTATCTTATCCTGATAACGAAGCGAGATCTGTCCATCACTTTCCACATAGATTTGCAAAGGTCGGTCATACTTTATATTTTGCCAACTATTTAAGTATACAATTCCAATGCCGATTTTGTGAGTTATTATTATTTATATTTATAATTTTCGTTGCCATCTTTTCTTTACCATTACCATATTTTCTACGGCGCGGGATGATGCGGTGATCTGTTCCTTTCCGCCATATCATGATATACGATAATTCGAGTGATCACATATAGGAGGTCCGACAAGGTTGTTTACAATAAATAATGCAGATTGATATGCATGTTCTATTTTACTACAATTAAATATTATACAGGTAAATTCTATTCATACAATTTAAATATCAGATCATGGCCATCAAAACGAGATCCATACTTTTGTTCTTAGCTTTACAAAGGTGAGCCATAAAATCTTGAGGGAGCTCGAACGACCGTTTCGGACGAGTCCTCTTCGCTTGAGTCTTGGGCTGAGTATCGGCCTCGAGACACTCGATACTCCTCGGATTCAGGATGCTGAGCCTCGCCCTCGTACTCCACCTCGGCCACGTAGCCAGAGTCGCCGTTCACGTAGTACTTGACAGTCTGCAAGCGAGTGTCGGGAAGCTGCACGTAGTACGAGCCTTGGGTGTAGTCTCCGTCGCGGGACTCCTGGTGGCCGAAGTGGTTCCCTGAGTAGTCGTGGTTCACGGCCCAGTCGAAGTCGTACTTTGCAGGTCCATATTCAGCAGAATCTTCATCAGATCTCTGTAAATAGCAACATTATTGGATTAGATTATGATCCATTGTCTTATTTGTTTCTATGATGATCCGCTGACACCAATAACACCCGTAAACCTACATCATGACTACGGTAGACGTGGCGACTCTCTGATGACGTTTCGGAAGAATCATCTGATACCTGGAACACAAACCATTCCATTAGTTTTAAAATTCTATCTCAGTGTTTTTTTGTTTTGTTTTGTTTTTAATATTGGAAATGGAATACATAAAAACAGAAATGCTCATGCTTTACTTGAGTTCTAGCTTGAGGTACTCCGTAGAAGGACGAAGGTTGAGAATCCGACGCAGCAACGGCGGCGAGAGCCAGCAGGAGAACGAGCTAAACAGGAAAGATACTTGAGTACTGTTGCCTGTGATAACATGTAAAATTGAATCCCTTCATTGCATTGCAGTTCAGTATATAAAAGCAGTTGGAGACAAAGCGCAGCAGTTCACCTGAGCGTTCATGGTGCGACCAGAGACGTGGAAACACTGACCCAATGCGGCACCGACGCGCCGGATTTATAGGGTCGAAGGGAATGCGACACGAGCGATGACCTGCTTTTCCTTTGATTTTGCAATACATTTATTCGATTATGCCAATTCATTTCACAAGTGCTTAACTATATTTCTTTCTCACTAGCAAAATTAGCAGAATTCAACAGTCCAATAGATATTGTCGTGTGGGCCTTTATTTTTGTTAATTCATACCTTTAATCTTATATTTCTATCATAAAACTTGATGTTATATTAATTTGATATTTCTTTCATAAGTCTTGTTTCGAAATAAGCTATTGACAATTTACATATCGTGGTCAGTGATTTTTTTCGGTTTTCACTGTGATTTGATTTGATTTTTTTTTCTTTCATGTGATTTGTTCTTGTCTTTGTTACTTTCAAAATGTATACACATATATATATAATTATATATACACACTTATATGTGTTTCTATACACACACATGCATATATATGTGTGTTATACATATACGCCGACTATCCGGGAAGCCTCAAGCCATACAAGAAGGAAATCTCGTTAGGTTCATCACCAACTTGCGAAGAAAGTTGGGGTCACCACTTTCAGCAGTCCTTGTCTATTTTTTCATGGAAACTCTCGTGGGGAACAATGTAATATGGCTACATTATGTATACAGCATGATACAAGTGAGGACGCATCTGCGGGATCTCTAGCGAAGATCCTGTAGGAAGGCGAGATTACTGTATTCCCTTTGTCTATCCATAATTCCACAGGAGACCCAACAGTCCTATATTCTTCGTGCACAGAAAACCAACCAAAAAAGACTTTTCTTTGCCCACATGAGGACGTAAGACGTGGACGTGGTTATCGAATTCTTCCTCCGAGCGCTTTGGATCTGCAGTTCAGAGTTCCTTGGGGAAATACATTTTTGTTCTTCCTGTACCCATGCTCCTTGTTCACCCACCTTAGGCGCAAAGCAGAATAAACAATGAACAGACCCAGAATTGATGCCCCACAAGACATCTAGGAAGTCGGAGCACAGCAAACCTCTTAGTCAGTCGTTCAGTACCCCTTACAGCGGCTGCGACAGTATACGAATATAAATAGGTTCGGCAAGACAGGGACTTCACGAACAACCAGTCGACCAACCCCGCAGCGCCTTCCGACGTCTGACAAGAGGAGCGCCTTCGTTGTTCAGGGCGACACCGATGGCCACTACCCAAAGTGTTCGCAAAATGTAGATTTACTCTTTGTGTATCTCTTGTTCGTTATACCGTGAAAAATAAATACAGCGTAAAGGCCTTCGACCTTTTCGTGTGTTTTCTTGCTCTTCCTTTTGTTTTGATTTATAAGGGAGTCATAGAATTGTATCATTAATCTATTTTGAATTAACAAGAAAAACACTCGAATAAGGATTTTGATATAATTAATGCTCATTAGTGCTTGGAACTTGAAAAAGGCAGTGTTCCATATAAGTATAGAGATATATGCTTGTAACAAGTAATTTAGGAGACGGTTTTATTCAAAGTTTACGCATAAAGCCTTGGAAGTGAAAGTGTTTTCTATAAATATGAAAATTATGATTAGTTCACAAACTGTTGAAATGTAAAAAGACTATTTCAATTATATATATATGCATATGTATAAATATGTATCCATATATATACACATATGTATGCATATATATGTATCCACATATATATATTTTTTTATAAATATTTATATATATATATGCATATATATATATATATATATATATATATATATATATATATATATATATATATATATATATATATATATATATATATATATATATATATATATTACATATGCATATATATGTATGTATATTTATATATGCATATATGTATATATATAAATATATATACATATATATATATATATATATATATATATATATATACATATATATATATATATATATATATATATATATATATGTGTGTGTGTGTGTGTGTGTGTGTGTGTGTGTGTGTGTGTGTGTGTGTGTGTGCGTGTGCGTGTGTGTATTATATATATATATGATACATATACATATACATATATATATATATAGAGAGAGAGATAGGGAGAGACACGTATATCTTACACACACCAAATTACTGAAATGTATATATTTGTTTCTATGTATACATGTGTGAATACACACATACACGCACGCGCGCGCGCGCACGCACACATACACATATATAAAGTCACAGATATATATAATATAATATAAATACATATGTATACATATATGAGTACACATCCATATGTATATATATGAGTACACATACATATGTATATATATATATATATGAGTACACATACATATATACATATATATACACACTCGTTAGAAACGATTGTTGTTTCGCTTATTCAGTCACTTCCTCAACAACTACAGGTATTTATGTTGTAATCACACAATTTGAGATCACACATTTGCTTAACCAAGTGCCTTGTTTTGATAGGCGTTGCAAAAAGAAATGAAAATTTACTTCTGTTATATTAGTAATAGATAAAGGCTTTATTTTGCAATATATTTAAATTCAATTATTAAAATCGTCAAAATTATTTGATAATCAATATCTCTAGTATTTTCATAATTATTATTGACATTTATATAATTACATTTTTGCTATAGTGATAGAAGTAACGATGATAATGATAAAAAATGATAACAATAAAAATAATGATACTAATAGTGAAAAGATGTATTAATAATAATAATAATAAACTAATATTAATGATGAATGCAGCATCAACAACAGTGATGAATATCATCAATGCTGCTACTCCTGCCATCAAAATCATGATTATTACCACAGACATTACAAATAACATTACTAGCTTTCTGGTTATAATTATTTCGTTGCTTAATAGAAAGATCAACAGTAGCAGTCTCTGTATTGTCACTGTTTCACTGATGTACTTTGGGTGCATAAGTCAATCATAACTTTAGTGATAACTATATGATATAGCATTAGTATTAATTTCATTATCCTCATCATTTCTAGCATTATTATTATGTAGCAAGATGTGGTATTCTTTTATTATTTTCATTTAATTTCTTTATACTATCTCGTACTTAAACATTCATTTCTTTCCATATTCAGAGACCAATCCAAGGATGTATTGATTAGGTTGTCTGGAATAAGTATTCTAGATTCCTATGCACGTACTATTTTACTAGGTATTAAATATACAAATAAATTAAATTCACATCATCTCCATGTGGAATCACGGCCGTCGAAACAAGATCCGTCCTTTTGCTTTTAGCTTTACAAAGGTGAGCCATAAAATCTTGAGGGAGCTCGAACGACCGTTTCGGACGAGTCCTCTTCGCTTGAGTCTGGGGCTGAGTATCGGCCTCGAGACAGTCGATACTCCTCGGACTCAGGATGCTGAGCCTCGCCCTCGTACTCCACCTCGGCCACGTAGCCAGAGTCGCCGTCCACGTAGTACTTGACAGTCTGCAAGCGAGTGTCGGGAAGCTGCACGTAGTACGAGCCTTGGGTGTAGTCTCCGTCGCGGGACTCCTGGTGGCCGAAGTGGTTGCCTGAGTAGTCGTGGTTCACGGCCCAGTCGAAGTCGTACTTTGCAGGTCCATATTCAGCAGAATCATCATCAGATCTCTGTTAATAGCAATGTCATTAGATTAGATTATGAGTTATTGCCTTGTTTGTTTCTATGATGATCTGGCGATTGACTGACTAATTGTTTAAAATTAATTGTCGCGTCAAAAACTAAGGTCATTAGCGATGATCCGCCGACACCATTAACACCCGTAAACCTACTTCATAACTACGGTAGATGTGGCGACTCTCTGATGACGTTTCGGAAGAGTCATCTGATACCTGGAACGCAAAATAACCATTGCATAAATTCTAAGATACTGTCTTAGTATGCCTTTCCCATTTAGCGTAATATTTCAAAGTATTGCTCAAAATATTGCAGAGATAAGGGCAAACACGTCCACTATTTACTTGAGTTCTAACTCGCGGGACTCCGTAGAAGGACGAAGGTTGAGAATCCGACGCAGCAACGGCGGCGAGAGCCAGCAGGAGAACGAGCTAAACAGGAAACGAAATTTGAGGATTGTTGCCCATGATAACGTTATTCAGAATGAACAAGTTCTTAATCCTTTCACTGAATTGCATTTCTACATAGGAAAGCAGCTTGTGACAAACGCAGCAGCTCACCTGAGTGTTCATGGTGCGACCAGAGACGTGGAAACACTGACCCAATGCGCCACCGATATTATATATATATATATATATATATATATATATATATATATATATATATATATATATATATATATATATATATATATATATATATATATATATATATATATATATATATATATATATATATATATATATATATATATATATATATATATATATATATATATATATATATATATATATATATATATATATATATATATATATATATATATATATATATATATATATATATATATATATATATATATATATATATATATATATATATATATATATATATATATATATATATATATATATATATATATATATATATATATATATATATATATATATATATATATATATATATATATATATATATATATATATATATATATATATATATATATATATATATATATATATATATATATATATATATATATATATATATATATATATATATATATATATATATATATATATATATATATATATATATATATATATATATATATATATATATATATATATATATATATATATATATATATATATATATATATATATATATATATATATATATATATATATATATATATATATATATATATATATATATATATATATATATATATATATATATATATATATATATATATATATATATATATATATATATATATATATATATATATATATATATATATATATATATATATATATATATATATATATATATATATATATATATATATATATATATATATATATATATATATATATATATATATATATATATATATATATATATATATATATATATATATATATATATATATATATATATATATATATATATATATATATATATATATATATATATATATATATATATATATATATATATATATATATATATATATATATATATATATATATATATATATATATATATATATATATATATATATATATATATATATATATATATATATATATATATATATATATATATATATATATATATATATATATATATATATATATATATATATATATATATATATATATATATATATATATATATATATATATATATATATATATATATATATATATATATATATATATATATATATATATATATATATATATATATATATATATATATATATATATATATATATATATATATATATATATATATATATATATATATATATATATATATATATATATATATATATATATATATATATATATATATATATATATATATATATATATATATATATATATATATATATATATATATATATATATATATATATATATATATATATATATATATATATATATATATATATATATATATATATATATATATATATATATATATATATATATATATATATATATATATATATATATGTATATAAATTATATGTATAAATATATATGTACACACATATATATATATATATATATATATATATATATATATATATATATATATATGTATGTATATTTATAAATCTAAACACACGTACATGTGTGCGTGTGTTTGTAGACACATATCTATGTATATATGTAGATATATCAAGTGTCAAGACGTCCCTTACCGACTCTCGAAGAAACTTGGGTCCACCACTTTCAGCAGTCCTTGACCAGGTCATGGACTGATTGTTTATCTAATATCTGCCGTGTCATTAGCAACGAATACCTTATGGAAATAGAATATAGAATAGAATAATAAAAAATAGAATATATAAA